CTGCTCGGCGGGGAGTCTGCTTCTCCCTCTGACCCTCCCCCCTCTCATGTGCTCTCTCTCTCTCATTCTCTGTGTCTCAAATAAATAAATAAAATCTTAAAAAAAAAAAAAAAAGACTAAAGCTTTGGAAAGCAGTTCACACTTGACTCAGATACGCCTTCCCCGAGACAGCTATCTCATCTTTTTCAGAATTCTTAACATCCTGAAGGTAAGGCACAGCTTTTCTCCATCTCTGCCTCTCCTAAAACATTACTAATCCCTGAATGGGATTGGTCATCTTCTGGAACTTTAGGTAACATGCGCTCATTTATGAACACATCCTTACAGGTAATCTCCTGTAGAATTTTTAGTTGAAATAGAAGTCAACATTGGCTGCGTTGCTTTGCGGGTTTTTAATGGGGTGTTTGGGTGGTTTCTGTTTTTGTTTTAATTCCACCAATTTAAAAATGCATTCATCTTGGGGCGCCTGGGTGGCTCAGTCGTTAAGCGGCTGCCTTCGGCTCAGGTCATGATCCCAGGGTCCTCGGATCAAGCCCCGCATCGGGCTCCCTGCTCCGCGGGAAGCCTGCTTCTCCCTCTCCCACTCCCTCTGCTTGTGTTCCCTCTCTCGCTGTGTCTCTCTCTGTCAAATAAATAAATAAAATCTTAAAAAAAAAAGAGGCTATCTAGTCGCTTCTCTTTGGGTCTGACTATATACACTCCCCACCTTCATTTTCAGGATTTATAAGATGCCTTTCAAGGAAATCTTCACAGATGCAGTGTTTATATAAATCTGGTGCCTATTTAAAAACTAATGTTGCGAAGTTGTAGCATGCGTTTTGTAATGTTGAAAGAGTATCTTTTAAAGCTTGTAGGACAGACTTTGCAGCCTCCACCGCTTGAACGCCTGAACAAGAAGGGCTCCCTCCTTCCCTCACTCAGCCCAGGGACAGGCAAAGGTACAGGGTTAGCCAGAAGAGGATGCCCAATGAACAAAGTTTAATTCCAGGCTGATGACGCACAAGTTGGCCAACAGGCCTGGCTCTGGGAGAGACCGAGCAGCCCCAGGCACACACTGACCTCCCTGGTGCCACCACGCAGTGTCTGCACGCCCACCGGCCCTGGGCCTTGAACTCTGCCCCCTGACTGTCAGCGGCCCATGATGGAGTTGCAACCCTGTGGCCCCAGGCCGGAGCCAGGAGGCTGACCTCTCGCCGTGAGCCGGCTGTAGACCTGGCAGTTGACTTCCCTGTCCCGCACATAGCATCGGATCTCCTCCACAGCCTCTCGGATGACAGTGACGGCCAGCACGAAGCCCTGCGGAGAGAGCGGAGAGAAGATGAGCCCTGCGGAAAGTGACCTTCCTCTTCTGGTGCTGGGGACAGAAAAGGCCAGAGGCCACACCGAAGGGCAGCAGGGCAGGGCCTGCTAATTACCCCAAATGCACGCGCCCCAGCAAGCCCACTTCTCCCGACTCCTTCCTACACACATGCCCTGGGGAAACACTCGCTGACACACAGATACACGGGCAGCCCTATCCACCACCACTGCAGGGTTTCTAAGAGGAAAAGGTGGTCTGTCCACAGGCAGTGACAGAGGGATGGTGTCTGCTATTCGTACCTCACTCGTCATGTGCTGGGCGCCCTTCCAACTACACTACACCCCCACAGCAACCCTACGCTCACGAGTGCTGAGACGGAGCCTCAGAATGACAGAAAGGTTGAGTCATCTTGCCCAAGGATATGAAGCTCTAAGTGATAGGCAGGAAATCTGGCTCCAGAGTCCTTGCTCCTAACAGCCACGTTGTTGTGCCTCCAGACAAACTTGGAAGACCTACTAGCCAATAAGATGGAGGCCCAGGAGAAGGTTAAAAAGAATGAGATCCATCCCATGCACTGACCTGCCAAGGAGGGAAATTCAGTTTTCACAACATACAATGTAACACCATGCATACAAACGACAAGGGACAGCCACCATCTTCCGTGAAGAGTTCCCAATTTCCTTAACTATTGGCTAGATTCCTTTGCAAGGAAAGGACTGAGAGGGAGCAAGGGGCCAAAGGGGACTTCAGTCTTCTCTGTACTGTTTTAAATCCTTATAAAGAGAACACATTGAAGTATTAATTGTGTAAGTAGCAACAAATTAAAAAAAAAAAAAAAAAACATTGGAAACTGCCCGACCTTTCCTGGGCCAGGTACCCCAACTCATAAAATTTGGTGGGAACTGGTGTGTGAGTCAGCCGTAACAAGAATCTATTTCCATCTAGATTTCTCCTCTCGTGTCAATAAAGGCAAGAACATTCATTCATTTTTCTTACAAGATAGCCCTGTCATCTCCTTTTAAAGTCATTTAAAAAAAAAAAAATACAGAAAGCACCATCACCCTGAAGGGTAGCAGCGGTGATTCTTTGAGCATTTCATTTTCATACTGTTTACTCCGTGAAATATATTAACTTCAATTCAAAGGACTTTAAATCTCTTATGTAAATCTAGCCAGAGATGTGCGGCTTTGTGAAACTCCTCCAAGGGCTCATTCATCTTTACAATCAAAGGATTACTCCTGTTTCCAATCAGATTGTAAAGTACTGGCCGCAGCCAGAGCAAAACTGGTACATTTCAGAATAAAAGCATAACCAGACCAGGAGGGGAGAGGAAACCTGTTCCGGGAAGAGCGCAGACCCAGGGTGCACAACCCCCCCACCCCGCCCCCCAAGCTGCCAGCTTCCTTGTTTTGGGCCAGAATCCAGGTGTTTGCTGTTTGTTTTTTCAAATGTTCCAGTTTCTATTTCCCTCTGCGCGGGCCCAGCTAAATCCCATTGATGAGAGTGGAAAGTGTGCGCTCCTACAAAGACAGGAGCCGCTAACCTCCCTGGGGCCGATAAATACGGCCTCCTAAATTATCCTATCTGTTCCCCCCACCCCACGCCCAAACACACAGTTCCCATTAATCCCAGAGGACATGCCATCCCTGGGGCTAGAAAATGCTTTCACAAAGAGATGCAAATGTAGTCCAGAAATAAATTCCAGCTATGCAACTTCAGAGGTCCTTCATAGCCACAGATATTTAGAGAGAGGCTTTAATAGGGAGGCCTGGGGTTGTCTGAGCTTGTAAAAGAATCAGAGGCAGTGACAGCCTCCGATTAGCGCCCAGACAAGCCATTCTGAAGGTGCTAAGCCTCCTTTTGTAAAGTTGTACGTCAAAATAGAGTACAACAAAGCAAAACAAATCTATGAGCTAGAAATCAGAAAAGCAGTTGCCTCTGGTTCAGGATGGGGTGACTGGAAAGGGGCATTAGGGAACTAGGGTGATGAAAATGTTCTGTATTCGACTGAGGCGCTGTTTCCATGGGTGCTGACAGAAGTTGGAAAGCTCACCACTTTGTGAATGGAGTATCTCTCTATCTTAAGGTACACAGAGTAGATCTCAACAGCAACAAAAAAATCTAGATTATTTGGTCTTCATACAACTTTATGGATTATTTCAGCTATCTATTGAGGAATTTCTCCCTCTAATACATTAGTACCAAAAAAAAAAAGTTATCAAAAGCTAAACCTTGGGGCGCCTGGGTGGCTCAGTCGTTAAAGCTCAGGTCATGATTCCTGCTCCACAGGAAGCCTGCTTCTCCCTCTCCCGCTCCCCCTGCTTGTGTTCCCTCTCTCGCTGTCTCTCTCTGTCGAATAAATAAGTAAAATCTTAAAAAAAAAAAAAAGCAAAATCTTCATCCAATGAACAATGTTACTAGTGCCAGGATTTTAAAATTCAAATGAGAGTATGTGCTCTCAAGAGGCATCTTATTTGTAGTACTTCATTTAATTCTTCCAACAAGCCAGGGAAGGAGACATGATCATCCCTGTTTTACAGATGAGAAAACTGAGATTCAAATTATCTAATTTCTCAAAGTGTAGCCAGGAACCACACCTCAGCCGTGTGGCTCTCAGCCCTCATTCAGAACCACGGCGCTTAATTACAGCTGGGTTTGGAAGGAGAGGCCTTTCGGGGTAGTCAGAGACATTTCAAATATGTCTTCTAGTCCAGAACTGGAAACAGACTCTGCACAGAAAAATCTAGGGGAGGACGACACCTGGGTAGTTCAGTCAGTTAGGCGTCTGCCCTCAGCTCAGGGCATGATCCTGGAGCCCCATATCGGGCTCCCTGCTCAGTGGGGAGTCTGCTTCTCCCTGGACCCATCCCCCCCGCTTGTGTGCACTCTCTCTCTCTCTCTAATAAATAAAATCTTAAAAAAAAAAAAACTTTCTGAAATATTTTTAAAAAAATCTAGGGGAAATCAGCTATAGTCACACCTAGAAATAGATGCCATCTACTTTGTCTTTGACCCCAAACCTCCTTCTCTGCAGCCCCGGGGGAAGAGGCAAACCAACACTCACATCCCCTTGCAGTCCTAAGCCTTCATAGGAAAAGCTGCTTATAAACGAGACACGGACGCAGAGGCAGGAAGCTCAGGGCCACCAGAGGCTGCTATTCACCTGCCTGGTTTCTACCTGTGGCCACAGTTCACAGTTTGGGGTGGGGGGGAACAGGTGAGTGAGCGGGCAGACAGGGAGATGGTAGAGGTGGCTGGGGTCACAGTACCGCACACACTGAAGGTCAGGCTTCTCGGGAACCTCTAGGCATCACTTCAGCAAGGTGACAGAGGCAGGAGCTGGGGCCGGGTCCTTTAATTTAGAAGGGGGGGTAGGGGGTCTTCTAGGCCATCCCAGTCCCCACCACTTGCTCCAGCCCAGCTGGACTGGACAGGAGGGAGATTTTCACTGGGAACGTTTTTATGTTTCATGCATCATGTGAATGTATTACCTTTCAAATAACTACACTTCAAAAAGGGAACCAACGGAAGGCAATGTGATAAATTATATTTTTATATACATTAGAGACTCTTTATTTTTTTATTTTTATTTTTTAAAGATTTTTATTTATTCATTTGAGACACAGAGAGAGAGAGAGAGAGAGCATGAGCAGGGAGAGAGGCAGAGGGAGAGGAAGAAGCAGGCTCCCCGCTGAGCCAGGAGCCCGATGTGGGGCTCGATCCCAGGACCCTGGGATCATGACCTGAGCTGAAGGCAGACGCTTAACCATCTGAGCCACCCAGGTGCCCCAGAGACTAACTTTTTAAAAATAAGCAACTTAGGGTTTGACTCTATATAGGTATGTAGTAAACAGTGGAACGAAAAAACTCAAATAAAATTGGGGTATTTCATATAAAACTCTAAAGTTTCTAACTCCGGGGACTGGCAACTCCGGGGACTGGCAACTCCAGGTCCACGTCTGGACCTGCGACAATGGAGCAGCGCCTTCCATCTTGGACGGGACAGGAGCTCCCCAGCTCTCCCAAGGCTCGATTGTGGCAGCCCAGCCTCTGAGTCCGCAGCATTCCATTCGGGGTGTAAGAACGCAGACTGGAATGTTTGTTATGCGAGGGAAGGATGCAAACAAAAGTTTGCTCCCGCCCCCAGAGTCCTACCTCACCTACAAATGACAGCAGGACAGAACAGCTTGCACATCCCCAAAGCACCCTTGCTGTTCGTGTGGGAAAAACGAATCCCCTCTCCTTTCTCTTTTCTCAGGGCTGGAGCCGCTGGCCTGACTTGTCTGCTAATACAAGTAAAAAAATCCTGTTCTGGGGCGCCTGGGTGGCTCAGTCGTTAAGCGTCTGCCTTCGGCTCAGGTCACGATCCCAGGGTCCTGGGATCGAGTCCCGCCATC